TGCGAACGAGGTTCGACGTACCCACGTACATACTGCGCTGCGAAACCGGCGACCCGGGTTCGTTTGCCGCTCACGGACAAAACAAAACAAAAAAAGAGGCGAATATTTTCGACCGATCAATGGGCCGGCATCTCTGAGGTCGACTCAGCCTGAAATTAGTACCCGGTGCTGATGTGTCAAACGTCAGCACTGGGGAGACAAAGGCGGCCGAGCGTGATTGCTGGCCACCCACCTCCTCGTGTGCCATGTCGGCTCGCTACAACACGTGGCCCAGCAGTCTGTAATTTATGTACAAGGGGCATGTGTGTCTTTGAAGCTTCATCACCCTCGCTTAAACTCACGTCTTCTTCATGGACACTGCGTGTGTGACGTTATGATTGTTGGTATCATCACCCACGAAACCGGCACAAACTAAGCTTTTCTCGTAGGAATCATGTCGCGTGGTGTTTAACGTGGACTGTATATAGAATTTGAGCTTTGGTAATTCCCCAAGCATACTCCCGCAAGGGAAGAGGTCAATCATTCAAATATGTAAACGGTGACTGCACTGGGCGGCTGAGTTGTAATGCGGGAAAAAAAAACTGGTCGACAGTTGTGTCTTTGTTTCACTGCTCACTGTTCTTGTCGGGATGGTGCTCTGTACTGATGATTTCTAGTTGTGATGAAGCTGGTCATTTGTCGAGTCTTTTCTTTCACTGCTGTTGGGATGGCCACATTTTCTCAACCCATTGAGTCGGTGGTTCTAAATGGACAAAAAATGGTCACACTTGCAGTTCTTTTGGGTTTGGTGGTTTGGATTCGGCTGAGAGATTTTGTCCCTGAAATTCACGTGTGTGTGTGTGTTTTTTTTAAGTCAACCAACCAGAAAAGCTCGGATATACATATATACATACCAATATATAGTCGCCATGGAAAACGATCCACGTAAATTATACAATTTTTATCTACGTATGTACTTGGTATATATATACACCGTTCATATAAAATCATGTTTAACAAACCCACAATTATACCCGCAAAAAGTGGCAGTTAGATATTTTAATTATACGAAAGACCTCCTAAAAAGCGCCGTATCAACACCGTCACATTTTCTAACCTCGTAAAAAATATATTATATTTGATTGCAAGAGTTTATCATTTTACTTAATGTCAATAGCAATAAAACTGTAATTTATAAGCGTGATATATTTTAATTGCTGCCGATGGATCATTGCTTTACGACGACCGAGTCACTTGGGCTGCAGCAACAAAGTAACCCACGCTTCATTTATTTATTTGACCAATAGACGTACGCTAGAACGAAACTAAAGTGTATCGTTACAAGGCGCGGTGAGTATTCGTGAGCATATTTTATTCCACTATTTAACACGCCAAGGTTTTCGCGACGAAATTTATTATGGATGTCAAATCGTGCGAGTGTGTGTGTGTGTGTGTCGTCCACTCCTCCTCCACCCGACACAGCCAATTAAATAAAGTTGTCACTTAATGAAAAAATGTGGCGTTGTATTTCTGCTCTCAGCACACCGCCGGTTACTTTTGGAGAGCGATCCACAAAACATTTAATAATTGGGTACTTAGGCGATCACTTATTAAGACGTAAATAGATAACTGAGTATCATAATATAAGCGGTATATAATATATACATTTCCTAAATGTATACTTCGCGGACTATATTATTACTATTGTTAAAAACAAGGATTGTCCCTAAACTCATTTAGCATGTTTTACAATGATTACACTCACTATACTATTGATCAAACATTCCCTTTCAAAATTATTATTCCTACACACAGATAACGCACGCACATAGCCTTGTTTTACTATAATTTGGCCAGTTAAAGAAAGTTGCTCCAAATGTTACTGCTAGAATTAAACCGACTGCATGGGTCATGCATTATCACAACGAGATGACGCAAAGCTGCCTTGAACTGATGGTATAATTGCTTAACATGCCGGCTTTTGGAGACCCCCTCCCTCTCTCAAAGATGCACTACTAACATTTGGCACCTTTATGTAACAATTGTGTGCAGAAATTACATCTATGGGACAGGCCAGGGTTTTCCAAACTCCAGTCCTTTGTGGCCCACCACCACGTTACGTATTTCCGCGTTCACCAATTGAATCCCTATTCAAATACAAGTTAACTCGGTCCACGCTGCACGCGCCCGATGATTGTTAAACACGCTTGCGCGTCGTGCGCTACGCAATTAACGCTGTCTGCGTTAATGGAGCCGATTCAAAATAAGATCGATATCTGTGCACACGCGTTCCACGTGCACGCAGATAGCGTTGATGGCTTAGCGCGTCACGTGGGCCGTGTTTAACAATCATCGGGCGCGTGCAGCGTGGACCGAGCTAATTGTAACTGGGAGGAGTACAATGGTGAATGTCGCGTGGTGGTGGTGGTGGGCCACGCGGACTAGCGTTTGGGAAACCCTGGGATAGATATTTACAAAAATACAACATCGCAAATATTATCATTGCTGTTATCGTTATTGAAGTTCCACTTCGGATTGTACTTCTAAGTAAGACTGAACGCGTTCATATATACACAAAGACAAAGATCTCCCCAGACTGTTGGGGCAAGCGCTGTTATCGAGTAGTAGCACCTATGAAGGCCGGCACGGCACACAAGTGGGGGTGACCAGCACCACGCCCGGCCGCCTTTGTCTCCCTAGTGGCGATTGTTTACACACCGCACCAGGTACACATTGGAGACTGAGTCGACATACATATTGTTCCACACACAGTAGTCCGTACTGAATAACCACATGCGTGTCAAGATCATTATTCTCCCCCTGGCTTCGCACCCTCTGCCTCTCTTTCCCTCTTTAAAGTCAATAAGTTATTTCAGCCCCCTTGTTTCCCGTGCAGCGGTTTGCGTGAGATGCCCGTCGCAAGTTAAGCCGCTATATAAACCAAACGTTGTTTTGCGTTTTATATATTATTTAGACGTATATGTATATATGAGAGACGTGTTAGGCTTAGCAGCGGTACGAATATGTGGGGATTTTGTTTCAACGACCTCGGCTGATGAGATCGAGAAAAGTAAAAATCGTTGTAGGATATATGTAAATATGTATTTTTTTTGCATACTTAAACAAAAAATGCTCCTGGAAAATAACATTGGTCCGGAAGGATCCTAGACCATGAGCAAAACATAAACAGCGCTCTATTTTTTGTATTAAGTGGAGAGACGAATTTCAGTGGTCGTTTGTTTATTAATTCCAGTTTTTTATATATAATCGCGCATTAATCGCCGTGCATAAAAGCATTAACCAAAGTGTTCCAGCGAGTGTACGGTCAACGTTAAAGGTTTGTAAAATACCCAGTGACTGGGGGGGGGGGGGGGAAGTGCAAGCCAACCCGCCGTTCTTCCAAAGCAACACAACAACAACAACAACATTGTTGCGGCCACAATATTTCCACACGCAAAACATGTTTGGGAAATAGGGATTATATTGGAGGTGTAGATTTTTTTTTAAAAAACTACATATATATGTTTGCACGCTTCAGTTAATTTGCCATGTGCATTGCAAGAATACATGATCCTCATGTACGTGTGAGCCACGTTCTTTCTAAGACGCCGGCGACCCACCTCGCTCTTGTCCATGGTATTCACTCAAAACACTTTGCGTGAGATACTGACGCACAGTTTCGTCAAACTATTCAGATCGCTCGTGGAACTTAATTCCCCGTCACCACGGATTCGTTTGTGGTGCCCATCGTTGTGTCAGCCAAAATCCACGTTGATATTCAGTCACGCGTTTTCTCAATACGCGTCCAACAAATCGAATTTGCCTTTCACTGATTCTTCGTCTTAATTGTCCTGTTTGTGCCTGCTATGCGTAATACACTGCGTGCTGTAGTATCTAACGAACTTCATGTGTATAATGAGTATTAATTCAATTGTGGCTTGCTAGCTCGAGTTCATCTCAAGGGGGCTCTCGTGTGATTGAACAAACACGTGCCTTCGTTAATGAATGGCCTACGTTGTCAAAGCGCTCGATTCACAGCCGTCGCTTTACAAATTCCCCGGTCATAAGTACACTCAAGCCCATGATCATCGTGATGATGATGATCATCATCACTCGTTCAAGGTCGCTAAATGAGCAGGCCTACTACCACTTTGGTGGGACGTTAACAGCGGACGTCTTGAGGAGGAGGGGACTGCCCTCCGTGTTTAGAACACGACATCGTCGTTCGCGGTTCTGCGCTCATCTGAGAGAGGAAGGGACGCCTTGACATTCCAGCCTGGGTGTGACTCCACTGCTGGATGACGGCTTTATTATTGTATATGGTTTGCAGGGAGACACAGGTCCCGCTATTAACGCGCATAGGGAGGGCCATGTGATGATAACTCGGACTGATTGGGACCGATCGCGAGCAATGAATGTAAAGACGATGGCGACTGAAGGACACTCTAACCATCTTCCAGAAGGTTCTAGAAAGCTCAAATGTGGCACAAATATAGTCCCTTCTCCGTTTTTCGAAGCAGAATAACAATAATACATGTTTTGAGTTTGGACCAGCTAAAACTCGCGACTCGGAGGATTTAATCGGTTTCACTCATAGCGCAGAGCCAACCTAGAGTTTCACATCGCTCCAAGCCTCGCGATAATCGCTTACAAATACCACCCCCCTCTCTCCCACTTGTCAGTGAATCAAGCACAGAATTCGCCTGCCGTAGAGTGTGACGCTAACGTCGATAAATAGCGGGGAGTTGCCCACCAGTGGGGGCGATGAGCAAAGGAAGCAAAACACTTTGGTGCCCAAGAAGTTCAAGGTGTCTCGCCATTCATTTGGGGGGGGGGGATGCCAGCGCATTAAATATCAGCTGAAATTAAAATCCTAATAAATATAACAAGCCATTTTTCATTAAATAATGCAATTAATCTCTTTTGTCTATCCGCTGTATGGCTACCAGCTACGTGCATCCCACAAAGTGAGAACGTGGCCCATGCTACCCAGCGTGCAACCGGCGCGTGGCGCGACTCACCTTGCAGGGCGGCCCTGTATCCCAGGATGTCGCTCACGGAGTGGGACGAGGGCCATGCCCTGGGCATGCACATGGAGCCCATGCCCACCCCGACCCCGACTCCTACCCCGGGCATCGCGGCGGGGCTGGGCACCTTGGGAGCCATGGCGCTTGGGTACGCGTAAATGTGATTGTACGGAAGGGCGCCCGACGGGGTCGACTGCCCCTGCTGCTTGGAGCCGTCGTAGTGCGAGGAGCTGCCCGCGTTGGGCGGCTGCGACAGGTTGCCGATCTTGTTGCGCAGGATGCGGCTGATGGAGCTCACGGAGGGCACGTTGTATTTGTCGCAGACGCCGTCGGCGAGCAGCTTGTCGCGGATTTCCCACGCGAAGATTCCCGGGTCTCGCTGCTTGTACGTGCGGATGTGGTTGACCACGTTGGGGGTGGTGACGCGCGGCTTGCTTCCCCCGATGGCTCCCGGCAGGATGGAGCCCGTCTCGTTGTAGCGAGCCAGGATCTTGGAGACGCAGCCGTGGGAGACGCGCAGCTGCCGCGAGATGTCGCACGGCCTGATGCCCAGCTGCGCCATCTCTACGATGCGCAGGCGGATCGCGTTGGGCAGCGGTCGCCCGTTCACGAAGACGCCGCCCAGCTGGTTCACCTCGCCGAACGACTGGTCTGTGTGGGTGGTGCGTGTCGTGCATGGGTGGTGGTGATGGTGGTGGTGATGGTGATGGTGGTGGTGACGGTGGTGGTGACGATGGTGATGATGATGGTGGTGGTGATGGTGACGGTGATGGTGACGATGGTGATGATGATGGTGATGATGATGATGTAGAGGATGGTGATGGTGACGATGGTGATGGTGGTGATGATGATGATGGTGATGATGATGGTGATGATGATGTTGATGATGATGGAGAGGATGGTGATGGTGACGATGGTGATGGTGGTGATGATGATGATGGTGGTGATGATGATGGTGATGTGCGGCGAGAGTTATTGGGTTGGTTTATGGTTTTAACAAAAAAATGTTTTTTTATCAAAATTGTTGAATTGATCAATAATAAATCGTCATAAATCACAATTGGTGCGTTCGTCAAAAATAAAATCGCCATCATAATTCGTAAAAATAATCATCATAATCGAACTTTAAAATTGTCAGTAAAATACGTGCTTGAAAATTATATCATTATTATAATAACCAATAATAATATTCACTATAAAAAATGTAATTGAACAAAGTTACCAACGTTAAAACATTTGTATCGAACAAAAACAATCTTCAAAAAAGTCTTCATTTATCGTACGCTAAACCTATCCCATTAAATATAATCACAATAAAAAATAACCATCGTGAAAATTAAAAAAATCATCAGTCGCCATCACCAAAATGAAAGTATTAAAATCATAGAAAGAATGAAATCATCATCATTAGCAATCATCCATCAAGTTCACTCCGGACCTCTCCAGGTCCACGCCGCTGTTGCCATCACCGCCGGCCGCTGTTGTAGGTGTTGGGTGTTGGGGTGTTCACGCGAATTATCTGATCGTGAACAACAACACCACCACTCACTGACTGCTCGCGTGCCTCGATCCTAATGCGGGCGCACATTCGAAGGTAGGCTATATATTTACACCACACCATAACATTAAACAAGGACGAAGGCAAAGATCACCCGTATAGCCCGAGGAGACTGTTGGGGGCAAGTGCTGTTAGCGAGCACCACCTATGAAGGCCGGAACGGCACACGAGGGGGTGTGGGTGGCCAGCACCCAATGCCCGGCCGCCTTTGTCTCACTAGTGGCGATGTTTACACACCGCACCAGGTACTCATTTGAGGCCGAATCGACCTAGGAGCGGCCCAGGACCGGTTCAAATATTCACCACTTGTTGTTATTGGCGTGAGAGGGAATCGAACTCGGGTCGCGGGTTCGTAGGGCAGTGTGCTCGGTCTATGCATCCTCAAATAAGTACCTGGTGCGATGTACAATCATCGCTACTGGGGAGACAAAGGTGGCCGGGCGTGGTGCTGGCCACCCACCTCGTCGTGTGCCGTTTCGGACTTCACAGTTTCTCACGAATAGCACATTCCCCGATAGTTCGTTAAAGGCTCTATGGGGGATATTTGTCTTTTTATAGTACATTTTCCAGTATGAATTGCGAAAGAAACATGTTATGGAGGACCTTGATTTGATGTATACTATTTATAAGCCTTTAATGCTTTTTTATTAGCGGTACCCGTAATACGAATCGCATGTTTTTTTTTTATTTTAAGATAACTTCTGAATAATGGAAAGAATCGCATTCTTAACAAATCTCAACAGATTCGTCAATAACAGTGCATTCAAAAAAGGGAAACAACTGCACAAGTGACGTTTCAGTCAACGGCCCTTATTCATGGCAGAGAGAGTAACTTCACGGTACAGAATGATCAAATGCGTTGGTTTTATTTTCTATAAAATTACTGGGTACATTTGCAGCTTTCACCATTTTTGTCATAGGAAGCCCCGATATATGAAATAAATACAAACTCTCCATATGAAGAAGGCCCATTGCTCGAATCGTCGCCTACCATACATCCTATTTAAGGCGGTGTTATCGACGCCCGTGATAGTCTAACTCTAAATCTCAAGCAACGTTCTCATTATCGGTCAACCGACCACCCGACATTTGAAATAAACGTGCAGTCAGCTGCCATTCCTATTCGCACGAATGCAGATTGGTTAACGTATACGCGTAGGAGTTTAAGATTCATATATAGTCTCCGTTTTATTCACATCCATTAGGTAAGTTTAAGTCGTGAAATCCACACTTTTGTTAAAACTTTTAATGAATGTAAGTATTATTATTATATATATTTGTACGCTAAGGCACATGAGTACCCAAGCATTATTGTACGGATTTGTACCAAATTATATATTTGATGCAATTCTTTGAAAATACTGTTCGCAGACTCTTGTATTAAGATCGTTTAACTCACACACCGTGGAGTGTATGTATATATATATGTGTAGTGGGGAGCCGTTGTGCAGTGGTTAATGCCCTGCGCTACAAACCCGGCTGCCCGAGTTCGATCAACACCAGGGACGATTAATTATCCGAACCTGGTCCTGATCCTCCCTTAACTCGACTCAGCCTCATATGTGTTCGTGTAAACATTACCACTCGGGAGACAAAGGCGGCCGAGCGGGGTCGCGGGCCACCAAACCCGCAGGTGTGCCTTTGCCGGCGTGCTAACAATGCTTTCCCCAACAGTCAGTTAAGGCTATGTGGGGTCTTTGTCCGTGTGTGTGTGTGTATATATATACTATAAGGAGGTTAAATAATTATACAGACCATGCCGTGCTGTTAACCCATTTTGCGGAGTAAAATAAACGCCACTCACTTCAAATAAATCCGGTCAGAATAAACAAACCTCGGGCGATCTGAAAATCTAAACCATCTCTTTAAAGGGAAGGGGTTAAATAACTCTGAGACGTGCACCACTGTTCGCTGCTCGCCTATAAATAATGTGAATTGTTACTAAATAAATAACTGCTCAAAGCATGCGTATTCTACGTTAGGAATTACTGCAGAGGGACGTTGAATGCCAGAAAATTACTCGACTGTTCTCTGTGTTTATTAATTTATCATGGCGTTTTATATTGTTACATACTATAAATACGTGCATGCGTAACCTACGACGCAATATTCGATGTAAAATCCACTGCCGGATTTCGGCTTTCCACAGAAAATATGGATAAGAGTCAAAACCGCAACACATTTCTCAATAACACTGCCATAAATAAAATAAAAACTGACACGTACACATATATATGAAAGGCGACGTGTTGGGAAATAACTCTAATTTCATAGCAGGGTATTTTCGCCTATTATACATTATTATTTCCAATCTATGGCAATTATTGTTGTTTCCGAATGTGTTTTCAATTATTTGTACTGGTGGACCACTTGCCAACAAATTGGTTTAATACACCGAGAGTATACATTCTGGTATTGAATAACAATGCACATTGACGTGTCTGCTGGCCACGTGGGCCGTTTCCGTTCAATGCTTAGGACCCTGCCACCTTTATTCAGCAGCGCGAGCAGCACTCGATCATGTCAGACAGAAGAGGTCGGAACGCGTGTTGTTGTTTGTTGTTGTTATTATTCTGGGCCTTGGCACATCCATCTCGCTCATCTAAATGTATTATTTTGCACAAACGTCACAGCAATCAAATATATAAATAGTATTATTATTATTGTACATTCCAGGGGCATTGCCTTTCACCGATCATGCCCTGCGCAACCAAGCCAGCCTAGCAGCAGAGTTCTGACAATTGTCAGATGATTCGAAATTGAAGCCCGGACGTACAGGCGTAAGCGTGTCCTCTCGTGTTAGTGCCGTACTTTGATAAATCCCTACACAGTACAACCAAGCCAGCCTAACAGCGTTACGGAGAGAGAGAGAAAAAAAACGAATCTAGTGATGAAAATTTGCGATCTGGGAGGGGGGCGTACAGGTGGTAGTCCCTGCGCAAGCAAGCCTATCAGTGGAGTGCCGGAAAAATATATCGAGTGGCGAGACATCGATCCGTGCGGCACGAGGCTGAGCGATTGCGCTCGCGCGCGTAGTTTCGCGTCGCGTGCGGATTGTTGCGAGTTTGTTCGTAGTACTCTCTCTCTCTCTCATGCGCGTGCGTGCGTGGGTTACACGGGACGACGGACAGCAAGCGAAGCAGCAGCCTTACCCATTGACAGCTCCGTCGTGCGCGTGGTGCGTGTTAATCCTCCGTCGTCACACGCCTTCAACTCTCCTGTCGCGGTTCACTCCGCGCAACACGGGGACTTCGCGTGGCCTCCTCTGCGCTTGACTCTCACCCAGTCTTGTACTCATGTACACGTGTGTAGATATATATTCGCCTGCTGCTGCTGCTATCGCTTCGGTAGCTGCTGCTGTTGCTGCTGCTGCTTGTTGACGCTGCGTGAGAGAGTTCTACATGGACGGGAGGTAAAACTGATGCCAGAGTTGCCCGCAACTGCTAACTTGATGAATCGGTGTGCGTCGGTGCGCGCTGTCAGTTTGACAAACTGGGCTCCTCACGGCACTAAAGCAGCGCGCTCCCAAGCCGTGCAGTAACCCCTAATACGATATCCTATAAGCCAGGCTGCCGGGGGTACCTGATATAGCGCTTGAGAGAATGTCGTTAGCTCACACCGCCCCCCGCCGCCTACTCCCCCACTTCCTCCTTACTCCCCCTATACCCCCCACCCCGTACCCTCCTCCCTCCTCCCATATCCTCCCTGGCCCACCACTACAGACCATAGCAGCGCTCCCCCATTCATTAAATATTCATGTACGGCCGCCGCTGTAGTCACACCGCCCAACTTCGCGGTTGGCTAACGTGGGATTTGATTGACAACGGAATTTTTTTTTTGGGGGGGGGGAGGGGAAGGGTTACGCAATTTCGCACTTAAAAATGCACGCGTTTCATTACATTATTAACGTGTATGTGTGTAAACGTGTGTGTGTGTGTGTCATGGTCAGCCATGCTCGATCTACTGCTGGATGAATCTCTCCTTACCGCTCCCCGTCCCTCCCGCGCACTAAGTCATCGACATGCCTCTCACAATCCTGCGATGGAATACTCCACTTGCTGCACGCCACGAGCCCATTTTATCGCTCCATCTCCTCGGTGACTGGGCAATACGCGCCGTGTGTGTGTGTATGTATACTGTACTGGGGAGCGATGGTGCAGCGGTTAGCGCGCTGCGCTGCGCTATGAACCTGAGCGACCCGGGTTCGATTCCCGCTCACGGCCAACACCGGTGACGATTATCTGAACCGGTCCTGGGCCTCCCCTAGGTCGACTCAGCCTCAAATGAGTACCTGGTGCGGTGTGTAAACATCGCCACTAGGGAGACTAAGGCGGTCGGGCGTGGTGCTGGCCACCCACCCCCTCGTGTACCGTGCCGGCCTTCATAGGTGCCCGCTAAGAGCACTTGCCCCTACAGAATGTTAAGGCAACACGGGGAGATAATTGTATTTGTTTAATATATGCACAACGAACATCAGTTTGGGACAACAGCAATACAAAAAACTGCTGAGCCTACTTCAGCAGTTTTTTTTTTTATTATTACTACTGTGGCTGTCCCAAACTGATGACGATTACTTGTGTTGCGATCGAAACTTCGTGATCTAATAATTTTCTACCCACGTGACTTTACCGAAAGAAGCAAAGAGTATGGATTCCTGCAGTCACGAAAAGCTTCAAATCAAGATTGAACGTCAGTCTGTGTAAACATGAGCAATGTTGGAGACAAAGACGGCCGTGCGTGGTGATGGCCACCTACTCCCTTCACGTGTGCCGGTCCAGTCGCGTTAATAGGTGCTCGCTAACAGCACTTTCCAGCCCCAGCAGCTTGCTAAGTCTGTCCGGGGAGATCGTCGACTCTGCCGTGCAGCGCAACCGATGAGCAATGGTCACAAATTGAATTCTGCACGCTGTGTGCCACGCGTGTTGTTCGTCAGGGGGTGCCGATGTTAGATTGCATGCGCAAGTCGTTAATTGACGTTATGTGGAAGAAGAAAAAAACGTGCATAGTCATCATTTTATCAAGGTATCTTGGGCAGGATCTATAGTAGCGCGCGATAATGAATGTTTGGAAACATTGAGAGTTTCTTGTGCATTTTTATCTGTGACTCGTGCACTTTGCAGCTGCAAACTTAAACTAAACTTACATCCACGCTGTCCTTTAAGATACAAATCTGTGATTTTGCATTTGATGTAAAAAAAAAGAAGAGTGGTCCAGAATATCTTCCTTAATTTGTGTGTAATAGAGTGTACGTAAACACACACTTAATAAGTTAGATTTGCAAGTTAGATATCATTCCAGAGAAAATGCTTCGTTTGATTCTACGATTACTCTTGTGTGCGCAAACTATGGACAAATTGCTGATGACATTTGAATTTAAATAACACGTGTGTACAATTGTGCACGGACTGACAGAGTGGAGAGCGCGTCGCGTCGTGGTGCGCTACGAACCCGGCGACCCGAGTTCACTTCTCGCTCACGACCAATAACAGTGGCGAAGAACCTGAACCAGTCTCCGGCACCCTAGCCCTAGATCGACTTGGCCTCAAATGGATACCCTGGTGTCACGTATGAACGTTGCTACCCGAGAGACAAAGGCGGCCGGGCCTGGTGCTGGCCACCCTACCCGCTCGTCCGCCATGCCGGCCTTGCTAGGTAGCTTCTCGCTAGCAGCACTTGCCCCAACAGCCTAAAGAGGCTATACGGGGGAGTGGGAGGGGGGGTGCGGTGGGGTCGGGGAGTCTTTTGTCTTTTGTATGGCCAAGGTGGCTAGTGGGGGTGAACGAGGCTCCATCGCTCGGGGGTCTGCCCCGTGAGTCGCCGCCTCCGCTTGGCTCGTGATCTCCCAGCCCTGGCGAGGGAAGTTCAGCCTCCGGGTCCGTGTCGCTCTTAATTGGCTGTGCCGGGGCTGGGGTGGGGGAGCGGTAGTGCGGTGCTTAGCGAGGACAACTGCGCTATGCTACGCAGCCCGGCTATGCCTGAGTTCGATTCCCGCCCACGGGTAACGTCAGTGGCGAGTGACATCCAGACCGGTCATGCCCCCCACCCCACCACGCCTCTTCTCCTCCCCCGGCCAGCCGCTCCTCTTCAACAAACTCTCGCGAACCAGGGTGGTTAAGTATGGTTAAACGACCCCACGACAGAGGAGACATGGGGGAGGAGGGGGCGGCTTCGTTAAACATTTTATTGCCAAAAGGGGTGTAAGTTATACGTTATTTTCATGAGTTCCATAGGCTTGCAATGTTTTTATATACACGCGTACGAACCCACATGCCTAAGTGTGTGTGTGTACGCATGCGTGTAATGTGAGTATGCACGTACGGAAGCGTTGGAGCAGAGGTTAGCGCACGGAGCTACGAACCCGTTGACCAGAGTTCGATCCCCGCTCACGGGGGTCAACAACGGGAGTGACGAATTTCTGAACCTGTCCTCCTGTGCTGGGCCTCCCCTAGATCGACTCGTCGTTCAACGAGTACCATGGTGCGGTGCGGAATGCACATTAGCATTGGGGAGACAAAGGCGGCCGGACATGATGATTGCCCCACTCGTGGGACGGCCTCCTTCACAGGTGCTCGCTCGCAGCACTCGCCCCAACAGTCTGCCAATAGGCTAATTATGGGAGATCGCTGTCTTTTGCGCAACAACCACGATCAATGATTCCTTCGTCTTATTTGTGACTCGTTGAGGAAATTCCAGCGTGGCAGGGCTTGTGCAGGACGCGTCGCGAGGTGTGAGGGCAAGCCGGGAGGACGAACACAGCGACCGAGTTGGCAGCCACGGTCGGAGGGTCTACAGTGTCCCCGGGAGGACGCTCCACGCAGGAGATGGAGCGATGAAAGAAATAAAAGTCGGCTCCCGTGTGCAGCGAGCGCGAGCCTACTCCGCGTGTTCATCGCATTGCCGTGAGAGACGGCGGCGAATTGAGGGGTTGGGGCCTCCATCCAGCAGCGGATTAATCACGGGTGGCTGACGATATCGGCAGAAGAACAACTGGTCTCATTGGCTTACGAAAATGAAAAAAATATATATATACAAATTTCCCCCGTGCAGCCTGAACAGGCTTTTGTGGTAAGTGCAGTGGCGTTTAATTTTACTCGGCAAAAAGGGTTAATAGCACGGCAATTGTTTAACCTCCTAAGTATATATATGCACATGTATAGGCCAAATTTCCCCCCTATAGCCTTCACTGACTGTTGGGGAAAGTGCTGTTAACGAGCGGCTGTGAAGGCTGGAACGGCACGCGAGAAAGGTAGGAGGCCAGCACCACTCCCGACCGCCTTTGTCTCCCTAGTGGCGATGCTTACCTGGCACTCGGGTGCCCTGCGAGAGGTCCAAGGACCGATTCGGATAATCGTCACTCGTGATTACCGTGAGCGGGCATCGAACTCAGATGGCCGGGTTCGTAGCGCGGCGCGCAGACCACTGGCGCTACCCTGAAGGCACAAACACGAGCACGTGTACGCGCACGCGCACGTGTACGCGCACGAGCACGCGCACGTGCACACGAAGATCCATGTGCGGTAAGGGACAGTGTAGAGTCCCATGCACCACCGCATCCTCAATGCTATACGTTCCCAATCGCCCGTGTAAAGTCAAACAAAACGTTCCCTCGATCGCACGAGGTGTGGGCTACGTTTGAATTGCTACCTGTGTGTGTGTGTGTATATATACTATACGGTGCACCATCGATAATTTGAAATGACTACAAACTATAGCGTAGGGCACATATATGGCAGGGTAGAGTGGTGGTGCAGCGGTTTACGGAGCACTGCGCTATGAATCCAGCCACCCGCTGAGCTCCATTCCAGAGCACGGCTAGCACCGAGTGGCCGGAGATATCTGAACCAGTCAGTCCTGCCTCCTGACCCCCCGACACCAGCGCTTTCAGATGCACTTCTTGCGGCCGTCTGGAACGCTCTGCCTGCCGATATTAGGAAGTCACCGGAGCTAAGCACGTTTAAATCCAGATTGTAGACTCATTTCTTTACAATTGTTTTTTTATAGTTTAGTTTGTTTTTCCTTCCCCCGCACCTCCGATGAGCACGTGGCGCAAGTCATACTTACGATATCAACTTGTAACGAGTCGCACAGGGAGGACGCTCACTCGTTCTGGACGAGAGAGAAATAGAGAGGACGACTCAGAGGCGCGAGGAAGTTGTGGCCTTCATCCAGCAGTAGATTGATCAATGATTTTATTAATGGTTTTATTTCATATGGGCACTCATTGTTACAATTTTAACATAGAGCAGCAATATATATATCTCTCAAACAGCAAATTACGCGTAACCAATAACCCATGCATACTAAAACCCGAATCGCGTTTTTCTTATTTTGAGTTATAAGCTATGCAGTTTGCTGTTTGACGTTAAATAAATGATAATGCTGTTGCTTTATAGCGTGTACTGTATAGGCCACACGTTTAACTGAGTGCCTACATTAATTACAGCAAACGAAAACATCGTGTATTTGACAACCGCCGAGTTTGTATATTATGATCAAGTGACACTTTAAGCAATTGTATTTGCTCCTGTGTTGTGTTATATGGATTGCTCCCCGAGCGGCACTTAGCGCAGACTATATATATACACACACACATATATGTATATATGTGTGTGTGTATAT